CCCCAAAACCCCAAAACCCCAAAACCCCGGACACTTACAAAAAAATTGAATTTTAATAATATATAATAAATGGAGAAATCTCTCAAATCATCATGAGTTGGCAAAACAAAAGTTTCAAAGTAATTTCCAATGAGATATGGAGCCTTTCAAATGAGACAAAGATATAGCATTGGCAAATTAGCAAGAGCATTCACTATTTTACTTAAAACTGGCTTCGTCTAAGATTGGTTTAGTAGGAATAGGAAACAGACTTTTCACAATAATCAGAATTTATTTAACCCACCTTTACAGTTTATTAACAAGAATAAATTAGAATTCTAACAGTTGAGAAGTTAAATTTGAACATAGTTTATGTACTAGAGTCTAAAAATGTACCAGAATTTTTTTTGTACATTGATAATACTTGTGATTAAAATACTTTGAATAGAGAAAATAGTATTTCTAGAAATATTTTCAAAATTGCACCACTTACCAGGAATATTATAGTTTTTTAGAATACAAAATTCAATTCCACCTCGATCGATTACTTTACAGTTGAACTTTGAGTATTCAACTTGATTTTGAGGTTAGCTTCCATATCAATCAAATTTGTCTGGCAACTTCTACTTCTAAAAATGAGTATGAGTCTAATTATTTAGAGTTGAGAAGTCAATTCTTGAGGAGGACAAGAATGTGGATTAGAACACAACAGAAAGAAACTTTACTTTAATATTTTTCACAAAATGTCGCATTTAAGGAATCCAACAAATGCCACAGAAAAGGAGAAATGGGATTCAAACATGGAGTTTATTTAAAACTTAAACAATGCTAACTTTGGAAAGGCTTCCTCCGATATTCTTAAAAGTTAGTTATTGTGGTAAACCAGTTAAAAATTAGAATTATCAGAATATGCTCGTAGCTCTGCATCCGGATGAGATAATTGACTTATGAATATGTGGGAGAAATAAAAAAGTTTTGGATACCTTTATTTATACAAATAACCCATTTTTCTAGAAGGAAATCACCAGGAACAGTGACAAAATCTCAAAGATCTTAGGCCTTAATATTTTTTGACAAATTAAGCCCAATCGAAAGGACTCTTTGCCTCTGTCAGTCATTTAAAAATTATCGAATTAAATATGAGCAGAATTTCAGTTATTGAAGACTTGAACTTCTCTAAAATACTAATGAATATTAAGAATAAGACGTTATCTCTGATAGCATCAAATTTTAATGGGTTAAATCCATCAGAAAAAGACCAGAGGGCTGGAAGAATCTGAATTTAGGGCTAGCCACTTCTCCAAATTTAAACTGAGTTTCAGATAAATGCTTATTTATGATTGTAGAAAGTAGAGCATGATATATGGGATGTTATGAAGGAAGATGGGTTTGATATATACATAAGAATTAATGGTAAAAAATATTCAAAAACTTATTGTTGGTCTTGACTGTGATTCAAAATTTTACTAGTCATATAAAATGCTGAATTAAATTTACTCTTTATAAGTTTATAAATCTAGATGCCAAAGATCCTATTTATTTACCCCAGAATCTGTAATTTAAAATGTATTTTTACAAGTAAATTCATTTACCCAAACCATATTAGTTCTATCTCAGTATCACAAAATTCACCTTAAATCTGCCCATTGTTTAGCCACTTATCTCCAATCATACAATACTAACTAAATCTTCCCTCCCCATAAACCTCTTTCACCAACCTTACCTCAACCCCTATCTCCAAAACCACTAAGCCTCCCTTCCTTCTCCTAAAATCCCCTCGAACTTCATCTCTTAAGCCATCCTCTTCCCAATACCTAAACAAAACCGCCCACCATTCAGCTTCCCTTGCAGAGTCAAAAATTTTAATTAAAAGAATCTTCTATTTTACCGAAATTTACAGGGGTTTTGGGGTTTTGGGGTTTTGGGGTTTTGGGG